TAACAGCCTGCCACCCTTGGCAGATGTTTGCTTTATCTAAAATCCTTCTAATAAATACTGACTGCAGTCATTCCTAGAGGCAGCTGGTTAAGCAAAGAACACAGAAGAACTGTCGTGTTTTAGCTGTTCATGTATTTGCACAAGTTTTTTGCAGGTGACAAGGCCAGAGCTTGACAGTGACATGCAAGGGATATCTGTGTTGAATCTTCAGTTGAGGTCCAAGGGGGCCCTTAAGCTCCCTTAGGATAGGAGGTAAGGGGGTAAAAAACAACTTATCTTCCAACTTTTGGTCTCTCCTTTTTGCCTCATCACTACTTTTGTGACTGTCATTAACCATAAGTTCTACTATCCTACCAGACTTTTGTATTTTAGGGGTGGGAGAGTAAGAAATCAGGAAAAGGCTGCCTGTATTCTGTTATTTGTCATGGTAATAAATGTTTCCCATATCAAAGTTGAATAGCCCCAATGGGACACAACTGTGTCCTGCTTACTAGTTGTGATCTGTGCTAACTGAGCAAGTACTTCATCCATTGAAAGACAATGGAAAAGAATGAAACGAAGTTGGATGAATTCAAATGTGCCTCTCCAGAGAGGTGTGATCAGTGTTGTTTCACTTTCCTTCAATACCTGAAAGTCTCAGATGTTCTGATTCTGAATTTTCCCATTCAATAACAAAATTGCCTCTTGTTCATGCTTGAGCCTCTTCTTACCCATATCCCATTCTACAAGGAAGACCAAAACCTTGTTTCTGGAGCAGAAGGAGTTAAAACAGTTCGATAGCCTTATAAAGTGACAGTGCAGCTTTCTTAAGGAGCAATAAATCTTAATTAAAGTCTTCTCATAAAATTATTATCACAGCAGAAAATAAAGGTCCCAACTGATATTAGGCCCCTATTGTGCCAGGCAGTGTACGAACGTATTAGGACAGAATGGATTATCTGCGAGGAATTTAAAACCTCATTAGATAAGACAGAAAGAAGCTATGACAGGAATAAAGATCCCACAGGGTAAAGAAAAAGACTCTTGTCACAGAAAAGACACATGGTACAGCCTGAAATAAGGTATCGGGTTCTTGTCACCCTGGTAGCCCTAGAGCAGAAAGGCGTTCATATCTAGGAGCTCAGAATCAGTATACTTTTGTTGCTTGAGGTCAAGATTTGAGGCTTTTTGGTTTTTTTCAAGACATAAATTCCAGTCCTGCACAGTGGAAGCTCTGAGCCTGACCTGGGTCACCCTAGCACCATGCACTAGGATGCAAGATTGGGTAGAGGTGGGCTGTGCATCCATCACAGGTCAACCCTACGTTTAAAGCATCTGTGCTCATATTATTTGACTGTCACATCCCCACTTCTGAGCTCTGCTTTCTTCTATGACAAATCTTCCTTAGATTTAAAGGGACTGAATTCCCTAGACAGTACTTTCCTTGGAGTCTATTGCCAGACTTGACAGTAAGGAAACAGATGTATTAACATGCCAGAGAAGTTCTGATGTTTATTCATGTGATGCTCTTGAATTGATGCCTGATAAAGCAACTAATGGGAGCCTTTGGCAGGGTACCTTAGATGGATTTCCTTATTATCTCACTAGATTTTATACTTTCCAGCAAAATCAATATTCAAGCTGATGTGCAATGCAGCCTCTTTTAGCTTTAGGTTTTAAAGATTTACAGGGATCAGGGAAAGCCAGTGAAGGCAAAAGACAATGACAAAAGAAGTAAAATCCAAATGACACAAATTGCTACTGAATTCAGGTAGGCTAAAGCAGTCATTAGGTTCTGAATTTTCTTCTTTATTAGGGAACCATTTTTAATTTACCTTCCCCTGCCTGTCCCACTCCTTTCCTCTGTCCTGCTTTGTTGAGGCTGCATGTTGCCCTTGCACTTCAGATAGTGTGACCAGAGCAAAGGAATTGCTGAGCCTTTAATAGAGAGTTTCAGGCATAATTTTTAGGTTTCTACAGGCAAGAGATAGTGAAAGAGTACCAGAGAGCAAGGAAAAGAACACTGCTGTAACCCTATGCATCTTCTCCTTTCCCATAGCTGGTCTGATCTATATTGCACAGACCTTTGTGAAGCCTCATCAGTCCTGTGAAACAGAGCCAATGGTTCTACCTACTTCAGTTTTAGAGATGTAAAATAGGGAAACATCCTTTTGCTGAAATACTTCCATTTCTTTCTTATTATTTTTTTGGTTTTATGTTTTTGTCAGAAGTCCTGCAGTGTCATGTGGTCAGTTTTCTTCAGATTTCAAATTTGAAACTGCTTAGTTATGGGCAATGAAGAAATGAGGCTGCACACACAGAATTCAATTTCAGGATTTCTCTGCAGATCTCTCTCTGCATTTCCCCTTTATTAGGGTTCTTTTGTAAATAGCACCTGGTGTTGCCTTTTAGTTAACCAGAATTGCCAGGATCTTGCTAAAGTGGTGTTTTGATCCCACACATTCCCTCTTGTATCATGTTGTGACTGTTTTCAGCCATGAGAAAACCATGCAGACCATTAAGCTGTGTTCCGCTTTGAGAACACAGCACTGTCAAAACACCAGTCGAGGTCGATCCTCCTTTTTGTTTCTAATTAACTAGATGCAGGTGCAGGCTAACTCAGCTTGTTCCCACATCTTAGTACTAATATTTTTCATAAGCAATGTGGTCCCCCTTCCCCAAGATATGAGCCTGCAAGCTAATTCGTGTGATTTCATCTAGATAGAGCAATTATGATACCCAGTCAGATATGTTATTATTTAATCAATTCTATGGAGTCATCATTAAGATTCCCACCATATTTGTTTATGACTGCCCCAAAGGGAAATAAATGATAGAATTTAAAAAGCTGGTAACATTGTGAGGTTAAGTGGGTACATGGCTGGCTGTCACGCTCACCAGTGCTATCCCTAGACTTTCCTGATCACAAAGTTGCTGTGTGTTTTCTTTTCTCTCTCGTCTTCAATAGCAGCATTAGGAGACTTAGTTCGGCCATCCTTGTAACATGGTTGGAGGATTTATGAAGTGAAATACCACTTGTGTTCTAGGATTATTCAGAAGATTTTCTCATTGCTTAGTATGTTTTTTAATTGCTATAAATAGGGTTGCAGTTTAACAATTGAAAAAACATTGAGGGTTTGAGAAGTTTTCTAGCTATACATGCAAACACATTCAGAGTAACAATATTTGTGAGCATGTAAGTGTTTCATATGGGGGAAGCGTATCCCATCCATGTCTTGCATGAAATTATTTTATAATTAAATTGAAATGAGGAGCTGGACTGCATATACCAATCTAGAGGTCATTCAAACAGTTTTGTTAGTAAGAGTCATATTCAGTCCTCATTGAGAATATGAATTGTAGAATTCAAATGGCACCAATGGTCCTGTACGAACAGCTGCCACCTGCCAATAGCATCTTCTGTACACATGGACATAAGACAGGCCAATAGTAATTGCAGCATCACATACCTTCAGAGCTTTAATTATGCGTCATGTTGAAGTGACTCTTGCAAAAATCAGGAATCACTGGTATGGCTGAGGCAAGGAAGCTTCTTAGTCATTCTTTCTTCCAGTAGGCCTTCAGCACTTTTTGTATGACTTTCACCATTCTCTTTATTTGCTTTCCTCCCCAAGCGAATGTACAATACCTGCAAGTGCAGTTTCTAAGCCAGTGGAAGGAGAAAATATTATGCCAAATTTACTGCTTATTCCATCAAAAATTTCCATTTTCCATTTGCATGCTGCCTGAACATACTGTCATAATCACAAACCTTGACATATAAACTCTAAACCACTTGGTAGTGTGGAAATAGTGTACAAATCCCATGTTGGGTCTCAAGAAAGGGGCAAATTTCAACCAGTAAAATTCATGGCCCAGCAGGCTGTAGAGGATTTTGTTAGTTCCCATGTTGTGTACCTCTCTCCACCAATAATTTTATTACCCTGAACATCTGTGGAAACGTGAAGGTGCAAGGAGCCTCGAGGCTGCTCAGCATGTTTGACTCCATTTTCTCTTTAAAAGTGTAAATGCTACTTCTATTTGCACCTTTGCAGAGCTGTGATTTGCAACACCAAAACCTAAATGACACCTAAGATCCCTTCAGAGCATTAAACAAACAAGACAGTAGGACATCACACAGTCTGGGAAGCTCTAAATTGAAAACTGCACTGCTTTGAAAATGAACCAATTGATTTCTTTGCTGTTATCCAAACTTGAGAGGGTTTTTCCGCATGAATCCAGGCTCTGCCTGCTCCCCAGAAAACTGAACCAGGATTCTGATTCCAAGCTTATAATGCAGAAAACCCTGTGCTTCTCATCTCTTTTTGGTCTTAATGGGATTTATATGAAGCAAATATGAAAAGGAAGAGGAAAGCTGAGAGACTTCGCAGAGTCAATAGCTTGACAGTTTAACAATTTGTACACTGTCAATGAGCTTCTGATTTGATACTGAGGGTAGATATCAGCGTTACAAAATTAATCAGAAGCAGTTAGTAGCAAGTTAAAATTTAGAATGTAGCTAGGACTATATAAGGTACTTTGGACCTGAAATTTAGTATTGGCTGAAGGACTATTGAAATAACTAACTATAAGGAGAATACCTTCTAGTAGTATTTCCTGGGCTGTCTGCAGGTTCTTGATCCTTCCCAAAACATAAGCCCACTCCTCTTCTTTCTAAATGGCTTTAAAAAGAGCAACCCTATCCCATGTGATTGCTAATAGGAGCATAGTAAGTTTAGTAATCACAAAATAGCAAAATACCTCACACCTCTCTTCAAAAAATCCTTTAAAAATGCCTGCTTTTCCAGTCAGTCATTGCAAATGAAACTGCTGTGATGAGAACTTTCTATAATGCAATATTTTGTTAATTTTCTTCTGTCATATGCCATGCATTTAAAGAAAAAGGCCACAATTATTAAAAAAAAAAAGAAAAATCTGTAAGTCTGTTGTCCATCAGTCTTTTCCTTCTGCTGAATTATTAACTAAAGAATTTTGGAAACATTTCTTCATATGGAAAAAAAAAAAGAAAAAGGTGTTGTTTTCTTTGTATGTTTAGGGAATGACCAAGACCAGTCTTAAAAAGAAATGGGTATGAAAGATGACAAAACATTATCTCCAGTCTTTCAATCCCATGTTCCTCACTGTCTATGGGTCTCATTCTTTGAATTGTGTGCTAAGAAATCTGATTCTGCTTGATAATATCAGTGGTAGTATCAATATAAAACAATAAAGAAGTATAAGACTACAATAAAGGGCATTCCCTCCCGTGGTGTTTACATGACATTTATACAGAATTTAATCCTAAATTTTCACTTCCAAGAATGATCATTCCGTTAAAAATTGGGACACATGTTTAGATGGAAGAGACCTTAATTTATAAGGGAACTATCTAAGATATTTTCTAGGTTTATTTTGTATTAAAAAAGGCAGGTATTTTTTCTGGTTATATGGTGAGATCAGATCAGACAGAAATGCTGACTTGAAATTTCTTCAGAAAACCAGCAAACCTTGCAATTCACTGCCTTTACTGTCCTTGTAAAATTGGTTAATTGTGTCTACAATTTGAATTCATAAATTACTAATTTCACAGGGTATGAGAGGGTTGAAAATACTAATTAGTCAAACAGTTGCATTAAAAGTTCAAGGAAGACAAATACAATCCCCATATTTATATGTTCTTCTCTCTGGATCATCTAAATCATTGCCACAGTTTACTGAGAAATATCAAGGCAGGTCCAGTCTCAGTTCTGCCTGTGCTACCTATGCAGACTGAGAGTGCCCTGAAACACTGACTTCATCCCTTCAGAGAAATGCACAGCTGAGAAGGAAATGGTCCTGATCTAGACTGTGGCAATGAGACACAAAATAGTAAAATTGCATTGCAGGTCAGCATTGTCTTCCACTTAAAACCTTGAGGCTGAGACTGACACCTCTCCTTTATTCTGTATGAATGTCTTAAAGTCCATTTTTGCTTGTAGATGTCCTTTTATTTCCTTTTTTACTGGTAGAGAGCTCCTGTGGGGCAGACTTCACTGAATTTGGCTCAGGTGTTGTCCTGGTAGGAAGCTGTTTGTGGTTTCCCCTGACTGTGGGGCACAGGGGGAGCCTATAGCTGTCATGTTTTTGCTAGGAGCTCTTCCATGCACCATTTTTGAGCACTTCTACAATGCACAGTGTCAGCAGCATCTGGAAACACTTTTTTTTTTCTGGGCTTTTCTTTCTTCCTTCCAGTCAAAGAGTATAAGCTCAGAAAACAGATGGAATTGTTCTGTGAGTAATTTGTCCAGCTGCTGCAGAGAAAATAGAAGGAAAAGCATAATGCAGTAATAAAAATATAATAAATGGAATCAAGCAGGATACACAAGAGTATATGAAGCATGCCTACTTCTGCTTAGTCTGAGGAAGGCATGAAATATCTAGCAACTAATATATTGTCATAAAAAGGAGGAGAAAAGCCTAAAAGACATTTTATTCCAACAGATAGATCTAATTGCCTAATGGAAAATCTGCTAACAGACTTCAGTCTGGCCATTTGTTGTTAGACACCTGTTGTTAGACAACTGTTGGGTTGGAACCACCTTGATGGGGGTGTAAGTGGGTGTGTGTGTGGGGGGGCGGGTGCGTATTTGTGTGTGTGTATGTGGAGGGGGAAGGATGGGGCAAACCTCACGGAGGTGAGATGGTGTCGTATCCCTCGTGGCAGGCCCCCGGAACTCACTTGGGAAGCCCCAAAGCAGCTGTTGGTTAAAAGTAGCCTGGGAAAACTTCAACACGGCACTCCTCCTGGAGTCCCTAATCCAGCCTCGAATTCTCAGGGACAGTGAGATCACTGCCCCTCACCCTGGCCTGGGGCCCCAGAATGGTTTGTTGGCCAGAGGCCCTGGCTGGGGGGGGTTGGCCACAAGGACCAGAGCAGATAAAACCAAAGGCGTATGTTTGCCACTTGGTCGTTGCCCTGCTGTCTGAACATGTGAGAACTGGTCTTCCACAAGGTTCCAGTGATAGCTATGTAATCTGTCCTTCCCTCTTTCTGCTTCGTCTCTCTTCTTGATCCCTCTTCTTCTCTTTCTTTGCTCCTTTCTTGATGCCTCAGGTAGCTTAAAGTTGGAGGGATTGGGTTTTGACTTAAGTTTGTGGATTAGTATGTGCTGCATCAGTATTGTGGCAGAACATTTTGTCTAGTTTGTGTGATGCCTTGAACTTTTGGCAAGTTCCCCTATTTTCTCCCCTGAATTATAGTACCTCTTCGGAATAAGTCCGTGTCTTATTCTTTTGACACTATCTCAAGGTATTCAAGAACCCTATATACATATATTTTAAAGTAAAACTCCTGACTAAGCCCGTGAGCTTGTGGCTCTGGGGCTTGGAGTGTTACACCATTGCAATCTTTTCTGGAGTATCTCTCTTACAATGAGAGACTGTGGGAGCTGGGCCTGTTTAGTCCAGAGAAGACTGAGAGGGGATCTCGTCAATACATACAATATCTCATAGGAGCTTGTCAAGAGAACGGTGTCAAGACTCTTTTCAGTGGTGCCCAGCAAGAAGACAAGGAGCAATGGCCATAGATTAAAATGCAAGAAGTTCCACCTCAATATGAGGAAAAACTTATTTTCATTGAGGCTAGCAGAGCATTGGAACCGGCTGCACAAGGGAGGTCACGGAGTCTCCCTCTCGAGACAGTCAAAACAGACCTGGATGCATTCCTGTGTCATCTGCTCTAGTCGACCCTGCCTTCACAGGAGTGTTCGACTAGCTCTCCAGAGGTCCCTTCCAACCTTAACTATGCTGTGCTTTTGTGACTCTCTAATCCAAGCCTGTCCAGGAAGAATCAAAAGACAAGTCTCCCCAACCATCATTTGTTTACCTTTCTTATCAAATAGAGAGCTGGTCTAGAAAAGAACCAGGCCAGTAACCATTTTCCAATAATTATGTAGGCTGACTGCCTGTCATCTTTTTCTGGAAATCAAGAACAGGCTAAGATTGAAACACTTTTATCGTTGCTTTTCCTGTGTAACTGAGTTCAAGTAGCATAGCCAAGGAGAAAGAGTGTCAAATAGGATAACTGTAAGTCTTGTATTTGGAAATCCTCCTCTTGGCACTGAAAGAATTCTCAGATGTACCTCAGAGTTAGCACTTTGAACACTGAATAGCAGGACATACTTTAAACTCGTCCTACGTAATCCAAAGCAGTGGTTGTGCAACATACTATAAGGACTTGACAAGCTTGATCCTTCAGCTGAAACTCTAACTCTGAAATTTCCTGACAAATGGCTCACTGCAAGAGTTGCAGGTATCTGCTTTCCTCCCTGTAGGGACAACAGTGAAAGCAGATTAGAGTGAGCAGTAAACACTCTCCTCTTTCTCAGTCTCAGCACAATGCCTGTATCCCACTCTGTTGCAGTCTTGTTTTTATTCATGATCACAGGATACCTTACAAAATAATAAATAACAGTGCTTGTCTGCTTGACTCTCATTTCTTTCATCATTCCAGTTTCAAAATTAAACATGTAGTTGCAGAGCCATGAAAATGTAATTTTTGCCATTGGAGGGGAAAAGGACTTTGATCAAAGGTCTGACACAATGTACCAAATTCTGATATTACCGCACTGTTATCAGACATTCTATTTCAGCAGGATGAATTCTTATGGATTAAAGATAGGCTAAATTTCTGTCCACTGGAAGTTGGAAACTGTTTTTAAAATGAGAAAGAGGGAGCAAGGTGTTAGAATCTGCATAAATACTAAAGAAAGAACTTCAGATTCAGATATTTCCCTCAGCAAAATTTAAACTCACACAAAGTTATCTGTTGATACCAAAACCCGATATTTTTATTTTATTAATTGCTAAGAGATGCAAAGAGGAAGAGGAAAAATTAAGAAAAAATTGGAAAAAGCTAAGATTACTTTTAGAAGTATAGGAAAGTTATCACAAATCCACCTTTTTGCCGAGCTCGGGTCGGAGGATGGGTGGGAGGAGGAGGAACAGTTTACGCCTTTTTTTTTTTTCCTCTGTCTCTTAGCTAAGGGAGGGGAGGGAGAGGAAGGGGGGGGGGAAGGAAAGGGGGGAGGGGTAGGGTCTTAGCAGCTTAGTTTTCTGGAATGCAGCCAGGATGCGTGGCTTTGCCGCTTACGTTTAAGAGGAGTCCCAGGCCATGCAGGGTCCTGATTAGCAGCACCTTTCCGCCCTCAATAATGGTAGAAGGATAATGTATAACTCACGCATGTGGCATAGTGGGTGTCAGTTCTTCTCCAGGCCAGCAGAGTTTCAGTCTCCGGTGGTAGGCAGGCAGCATGCGGTGGCAGAGAAAAGGTGAAGGAGAGGCAGGGAGAAATTCTCGGCTACAGAGTTCTCTCTCCCTTTCCTCTCTTTGATTTTCCAAAATTTTTCCTCAACTTTTATATGGTTTAAAGGAGGTTGTACGAGCTTTCTTGGTATGTAGCCCTATTCAGAAGTTTGAAGAGATATGATAACCATAAACAATAGCAGGAGCTTTTGACAGGAAAACTTCAGTGAGAAACTCTGGTAAGGGCATCTGGCAGGAAAGATGACAGAGAATTTTTGGTAGGAAGTTTTGACATGCAGAAATGTCAGATGGCAGAACATTACTTTTGGCATTTCTGTATTATCTGATTGTTACACAAGGGAAGAGAGGAAAGATAAATAAGAAATATGAAAAGAAAAAGTAACTTTAATAATGGATTCTGCTAAGTATTACACTGATAGTTTCTCATCTATTACCAGTTAGAAAGCTAGAATTGGATTTATCTACCCTGGAGCAGACATTCACCACAGTAGATATACATGCAAGTTCTGCAACAGAGCAGTTGTTCTGATCCAAATGTAGACATCTGTAATAGGCCAGAGGATCTATGCCATAAATGTCACCATTACTCTTCATTGAGAGAAGGTATCTAGTATAATTTATCATCTACATCTACTCTGATGTAGTCATTTACACTAGGAGTTTCTCAAGCCAGGGGAGATGAATGAGCAGGAATGGACAGGAAATAGCATGGGCAAAGTATAGGCAAATTTTATATTTACTAATTTGTAGCACAGGACAATGACAGCCCTCCAGTGGCATTGAAATAAATCCTGTAACTGGAGTCTGTCATTGTCTGTTTCTAGCCACCTTAAAGACTACTCTTCACTTTTCACACCTTGTTCAGGGCAGCAATGCCAAGAGCCTCACCCAAATTATTTTGAAGACAGTACCACTTTCCTGAAAGCATGCTTCCCTATCAGACTGCAACTGCTCTGAGTGCAAGAGAGTGTTTGACATGTTCCCATCTTAGCATATTTTGGTGTCCTCTAAGCAGTGGGAAGACAGTGTAGAAATCTGCATAAACTAAGAAAGACGCATGTTTGCAAAACATAGAAATGCCCAGTCTCTTTAGATTCCTGCCTTTGATTCATGTCCTTTGATGATCTCTTCATGTATGTGTGTTTGAACGGTTCCTCAGTCCCAGCAAGTCTTGAAATATGATGAAGCCCTTCCTTTTAGGAGATCAGCTTCAGCCAGAGGGCAAAAGATGTTCCCCATGTACTTGAGAAACCTCATTCTCAATCTCCATTTCAATGCAGCTGCTATGTCAGGCATATTCCTGATGTATGTGACCCTGGGACAAACCATCCTGTAGCAGTAAATTAAAAAGTCTAGCCCAAACTGTAAAGAGATTGCACAGAAAGGGCTAATTAGGGACCATCAGTAGTCAGATAGGGCCAGTCCTGTGACTGCAGTGGAGGTGAGTTCTCCTGAGTGTCTGCTCCCTGTGCAGCACAACTGGTGCTCTTAATAATAGAACCACAGAATCATTTAGTTTGCATAAGTCCTTTAAGAACATCAAGTCCAACCACTAACCCAGCATTGCCATGTCCACCACTAAACTATGTCCCTAAGTGCCACATCTACAAAACTTTTAAATATCTCCAGGGATGGTGACTCAGCACTCAAAATGTTGGCTAGTTGCCCATTTGCCACCCACACCAAACTTTAATCTTGCTCCTCAGGCAGTTTTCTTGTTAGTAGATGGGAGTGTGTAGGGTACAAATGAGCAATGATCACATAGTAATACGATTTTTACTGACTGCCAAAGCCAAGCACAGTTTGGACTTGTAGCCATCAAAAAAGTGTGCCCAAGTGAGCTTGAAGAGTTCCTATCCTTTGGGTTACTAGGAGGAAGTCGATGGACCACAGAAAAATTTCTAGGTAATTCCTCAAGTTTAACAGAAGTCTGGAAAACACCATGCAAAAGGTCCAAAAGGCACAATGTGGGTAGTTTGGTAAAAAGTCGTACCAGCCCTTATAGTTGAGGTACAGGCAGCTCTCCGGTGAAAGGTACTCTTTGAGCATATCACAGAGCACAAGTTCACACAGATTAATTTAGTGCTTAGCAGAGGTGGAAGGCAGGGACTAACTGTTCCAGGACTACTCTCCTGCAAGGCCTTGTTTAATGTAAGATGCTTGTAAACAGGAGAAATTTTCTGTTTAACAGTTGCTCCATGGCAGTTGCATACCCCGTGCATGCCTTTGGTAAATGGGATGTAATCTGAGCAATCCTCTCAGTAAAAGATGTAGAAACTACATGACCTGCAACAAAAAGTAGGCACGTGTGTAATCTCAGCATAGTGACTGATATTCACTAAATTCACTCACTTAGTGCACAGAGACTTGGATAGGGAGCTGTATCCCTAAGGATAGATTTTGGAGAATGGTATGGTGCAAACACTGCTCCTCCCAAATTGCGTGTCCACATACTAGAGAAGTCAAATCACCATTAACCACCACTATAAGAGTGAGAAAATAGTAATGAATCAATGAGAAAGGGCTTCTCAGTCCTACATAAGATACTGACTGCCATCTTCTGGAAACAGAAAGATAGCTGTCAAAAAGTATATTTTCTAATACACTGTTCAAAGAAAAGACATTGCAGATACATGTACTCAATGATGTAGCAGCATAAAATTCACCAGTTTTACTTTCTGGAACTTCTGCCTAATCATTTTCTTCCTCAATTTGTACAACAATTTAAGTTGCATTTTCTTATGAAGAGCAAGTAGAAGAGAGAAAATGGAAAGGCCTGCAAAGTAGCAGGAGGTATTCTGCTCCTTCCACTTTTTTCTCAGGATGCAAAAGTCACTCCTGACTCCCTTCCTTGTTTTCTTCCCCAACACATACTGAATCTTTCACAACTTTTAGGAACTCAGCAAATCTGAACAAAGAAATAAAACACCTGCTGACTTTTTACTAGTGGTATTTTTATTGAAGATATTAATTTTATGGGACATCAGATTTGATGCAAGCTTCTTATTCTACCAGAGTAAAGGGCTTGAGGTTCTGAGAAGTCACAATTAATTTTGATTTATAGCAATTTGGCTCATGGTATATATCTGAGTGTTTACAGCTAGTCTTGAATAAGCACTAAGTAATATAACCTAAAGGAGTTATCTTTTAATAAAAGGATTACACTAAACCATGTTACCTTGCATTTTCTGCAGTCCAGTAAGTTATTTATTAACTCAACTCAGCCAATTCACAGAAACTCACTGAAACTCAATCACACCTCTTAGCTCATTTGACTGTAAACTTTACCTCCTAGTTCACAGTAAGAATTTTAAGATTGAACATAAGTTACTGAAAGAAGCAGCTTAACAAAACTGAAGGTACACAGATGTGTTTGCTGTTTTTTCTCAGAAGGGAATGTTCCTTTCCCCATTCATTTTTGCAATTACATTCCCTGGATATGTATCACTAAGAAAGCAAGCACGGGAAGAGAGGAAAGGAAAAGGCAGCTCATAAGTGTGTCAGCTGTATATGCACACACCAGAGCAAGATTATGCACTGCAGTGTCCTGAGTATGCTTTTGTCAGGTATTTAGGGGTAGACAAAGCAGGAGTGGCCACCTGAGTTTTCTGGCAGGGATATCAGTTTGGTTGAATGCTTTAGTGATCTACTTCACACCATCCTTTGAAGCCTCTGGGTCTGACTGTATGAGACGGCCACTGTCAGAACAGTGTGCTAAGGTGTTGGAAAAGTCCACAGTGTCATCCCTAGAAAGGGTCTCACTGAGAGGAGAATTTTGTTCTGTGCCCTTCGCTCTTGACATAAACTCCATCCCTGAAGATATCTGAACAGTAACAGATTTCAGAAGAGAAGAAGCCATTTCACCCTTTGGACAGTGTCTCCCTGTTCTGTTTGTCAGCACCTAACATCTCCTCTATGATACCAGCCTCTTATTCTTCAGATTAACTGAATCCAGGCTCTTTCACTAGGCAGGGGGGAGGCCTCTGAGATACATGCAAAGAACATCTTGAAGCTGCATTGCTCCCAGTTTGTGCTGCTGAGCCCTGGGTTTTTGTGAGTTAAAACCAATTGTTTGTTTGCATAATTGTATTTATTGTATTATTTTTATTAAATTGTAATTCAGACTCGTAATCTCTTTTGAGTTGAGTTCATTTCTCCTGCCAGTTTACCTTTAAAGCAGCACAGGGACTATCTTGTATTTTTTGAATCATCATCCATTTTGTAGAACCTCTGCACTTTTGTCACCTCATTCACTGCAAGTGGGGTATCATTTTTGCTGACCATTTCCACATACCAACACTGTTCTTTAACATGTCCTGTTTCCATGGTTTGGGAATGGTAGCCCTTAGTTTGGTTCTCCCACTGAGACCATGCTGCTATTCATTCCCTCCCCTCCTCCCACCCCTCCCCACTGTGGAAGGCTGAAGAATTGGGGGCATAAAAAGTAAAGATCACAGGTTGAGATATGAAAAATTTACCAGAAGCAGCAATGAAATAAGAAGACAAACAGTAATAGCAGCAATACTAATTACAGAGGGTACAAGAAAAGAAACTCACTGCAGAAACCCCCGACAACAGACAATACTCAACTGCCCCCTCTGCCATGTTACCCCCACCGTTCCCTCCAGCTCAGAACCAGTGTTACTCCACTGCTCCATCCACCAACCATGCTTGATTGGAAGGAAGCCCTTCTCCCTGGAAGAGGTTCCTTTCCACCACCCCTGGCAATGATGTGAGCTAGCATAGAATAACCTCCTGAATCACATTAACATTGATTAATGTACATCAGTGCCTGTTTTCTACATCATTTAAGTATATGGAGAAGCACAAGCACAGACACTTCAAATGCAAGAGCATTTGTGCCAACTTGAATTTTAAATTCACAAATTAAAATCTGGACTGCTCATGTGCAGGTCAAACCTAAAGGGAAAGAATCAAATGCATAGACAGTTAAGTTAGGACAGGTGACCTGGGAAGAGTATAGAGATGAAGCATAGTTGTGTAGGGATTGGATGAGGAAGGCCAAGGCAAAACTGGAACTGAACTTGGCAAAGGATGCAAAGAATAACAGGAAGGGCTTCTACACATATGTTAACCAGAAAAGGAAGGCCAAAGAAGGGCACTCCTCTGATAAACAATGCTGGAAAACTAGTAACAGTGGATGAGAAGGATGAGGTACTCAATTTTCATCTCAGTCTTCAACAGAAACTTCTCTTCCCACACCTCCTGAGTGGATGGATAGTAGGATGGGAATTGGTGAGCAAAGTCCCTCCCACTATAAGTAAAGATCTGTTTCATGACCATCTGAAGAACCTGAATGTACATAAATCTATGGGACTCAGTGAGAGGCATCCCAGAATCCTGAGGCTTATATAGTTGCCAAGTCACTCTCTGTAATATTTGAAAAGTTAGGTCGGTCAGGTGAAGTTCCAGGTGACTGGGAAAGGGGAAACATTGTACCCATCTTTAGAAAGGGCAGAAAGGAGAACACTGGGAGCTACTGACCTGTCAGCCTCACCTCTATGCCTGGGATGATCATGGAATGGATCCTCCTAGAAGGCACGATAGAGCATATGGAGGACAGAGAGGTGATTTGAGACAGCCAGCACAGCTTTACCAAGGGAAAGTCCTGCCTGACCAACCTAGTGGCCTTCTATGATGGAGTGACTATGTCAGTGGACAAGTAGAGGGTTACAAATGACATTTATCTGGATTTCTGCAACCTGGTTTTCTACAACATGCTTCTCTCTAAATTGAAGAGTGATGGATTTGATGAACGGACTGTTAGACCAATAAGAATTTGGTTGGATGGTTGCATCCAGAGGGTAGTGGTCAATGTCTCAGAGTCCCGATGGACATCAGTGACAAGTGGTGTCTCTGAGGGCTCCGTATTGGGACCAGTGTTGTTTAATACCCATCAATGAAGGGATTGAGTGCACCCTCAGCAAATTTGCAAATGACACCGAGTGTTGCAGTTGACACACCTGCAGGACACGATGCTATCCAGACCTGGACAAGCTTGAGAAGTGGGCCCATGGGAATCCTGTGAGGTTTAATAAGACCAACAAGGTCCTGTGTCAGGGTCAAGGCAATCCCTGGTATAAATATAAGCTTGGAGATGAATAGATCAAGAGCAGCCCTGCCAAGAAGGACTAGGGAGTGCTAGTGGATGAGAGGCTGGGTATGAGCTGGCACCATGTGCTTGTAGCCCAGAAAACCAATTGTATCCTGGGCTGCATCAAAGAAAGTGTGTACAGAAGGGTGAGGGAGGTGATTCTACTCCTCTACTCCACTCTGGTGAGACTCCACCTGGAGTGCTACATCCAGCTCTGGGGTCCCTGGCGCAGGAAGGATATCAATCAGTTGGAACAAGTCCAAAGAAGGGACACAAAGATGATTAGAGGAATGGAGCACCTCTCTATGAGGAAAGGCTGAGAGAATTTGGTTTGTTCAGGCTGAAGAAGAGAAGGCTTCAGAGTGATCTAATTGCCTCCTTCCAATACCTGAAGGCAGCCTACAAGAAAGATGGAGAGGAACTTTTTTATAAGAGTATGTAGTGACAGGATAAAGGAGAATGGCTTCAAACTGAAAGACAGTAGGCTTATATTAAATATTAGGAAAAAACTCTTTACTGTGGGGCTTGTGAGGCACTGGAATAAGTTGTCTAAGGTTGTAGATACCCTATCTCTGGAAGGGTTTCCAGACCAGGCTGGATGGAGCTCTGAGCAACCTACTGTAGTGAAAGTTGTCCCTATCCACAGAGGGAGAGTTGGAACTAAATGATCTTTAAGATCCCTTCCAACCCAAGCCATTCCATGATTCTGTGATTTATAGCAAATAAAACTTTACTGGAAATATGCATTCTGCATAAGCAGCAAATTACTATTTTTATTTTTTTTTATTGCTGTTATCCAAAACAGGACTTCCTGAAGCTCACTCAACCTTGATACACCAGAGGAAATTATTTTGTGCAACTCTTAGCATTTTGGGAGAAGAAATCTTGTTATTCATATCATTTCCCATGTGCCTGGAAAACCTTGATCTTATGTAAATATTCCATAAAATCTGACTGTTCCCAGCATACTGTACTGTCTTTTCTTAATCAAAGAAGTAGCTCCTCCACAGGCATCTGCACTAATTATTGGTCATTGACTGTGAAAGTAAACATTTCAAGTAATGCCACTGAAATTTCAAAGGAAAAGTCTTTTCTTAGTATTTTTTTTTTTAATACCCCCTCTGCAACTCCTGTAACACCGATTCACTTTCCGCACTGTAGAAATGGGGACAAACAAGCAAACTGAGGTTAGAAAGCTCTTGTTTATAATTATTTTCTAGCCAAATGTCATACACCTTTTCACAACTTGCCCATAAGAGAGCCGAGTCCAGACTGGCACAGGGCTGTAGCGCTGACCCATTCCTTGCTGTACATCTACGGCTCGGCATTGTGCCGCATTTCAGAGGAATAACCACCAGATAGCAGCAGTGCATAAACCACAAACTATTTCCAAAATCCAGCACAATCCAGAGTTTTTACCCATGACTTTCTCCAAATTTCATTTTCAAATATGTTTTAGCAGAAATTAGGTAAACCATCTTATTATAGTAGTTGTATTATTTGAAAATAAATAATACACCCCAAAATGCCCCAGATGCGGCAAAAGCTCCTACTCTTCTTCAGGTGAGCTATGAAATTTGTCAGTCCCTTGCTCCTTTTGAATTGAAGGGGAATTTCATGTCAATCATCAACACACACTGTGACTGGGTAAAAATATATTTAAAAAAAACTGTACAAAATGCAATTTCTATTATTAATTGTGCCCCATCGTGCTGATGGACACAGAAAGAATGCAACAAAGGAATAGTCTATGCCCAGAAGAACTTGCATTGTAAGCAAAACCTTGCTCCTATCAGGTATTTTCTTCTGCTTGTCAAAACCCCAGCTCTCACCCAGTCTCCAGCGTTTTTCTCCCTATCACTTTGGCTACCACCGGCATACAGGGAACTTCAGGTATACTTCTATTTTTGTGAGGATGAAGCCAAATTCATTGTGAAAAAGAGGGGAAAGCCTTGCAATTCACATGACTGCATTCACCTCAAGTGGGACACAAGCGAACATATACTGCACCTCAAGGATGGGAGACAGGGCCAGGAAGCACATATGTCAAGTGTCAGCAACTGATATTTTACTTTGTCTCCTTGTTCAGCCTGCAATTCTTTATATGGTTATCACTGGGGTCTGTTTGTCACAGTCATCATTAGCAGGAGACACGTGCATAGTTCCAGGGGCACTGGAAGTGCACACACTGTGCTTCACATCCTCCTTTGCCTCTTTCAAGGATATCCCTAGTATAATTTGGTCCACAACTCTGGAAACTTTGTTTAACAGGTTGGCTGGAGCTGTTGCTAAGAGCAGCAGACATACCCCTGCAAACTGCTATGCTCAAGAGCAAGGTGGCTGCCTACTTTGCAAGTCAGAGCTTCCCGTCATCTCCTGCCTGTCTTACACAAGAACACATTGCCCTAGAAATGGTAAAAGTATAAATGAGTAATCTAAGAGGTGAATTTGACAGGAAAAGAGAGAACACTGTAGTCAGTTCTCTGTGATAAATCATGTATAAAGGGTAACTTCTTGCTTCAACTGGTAAATGAGCCTACCAGGGGTTAGGCCCCGCTAGACCTGCTGTTCACAGAGAGGGGCTGGTGGGTGATGTGGTGGTCGGAGGCTGTCTGGGGCACAGTGACCATGAAATAATAGTTTTCAGTACTCAGGGATGCAAAGAGGGTCATCAATAAAATTTCTACCCTGGACTTCCGCAGGGCACATTTCGGCCTGCTCAAAAGACTGGTTCAAAGGGTACCTTGGGA